GCACCGAGGGTTGCGGTCCCGTTGCCGGTCCCCGGTCCGGTACGGGGGCAACACTGAGGGTTGCAATCCGTTGCCGGACACGGAAAAAGACAAAAGGCAAAAAAAAAAAAAAAGTTAAACATACACCTACCATATGACTTAGCCCAAGTATTTACCCAAGAAAAAAAAAATTGTGTGCCACCATCATTACAGCTTTTAAAAAAGTTTACAAAGAAAAAGTCTGAAGGGAAATACCCCCAAATTTTAACATCAATTGTATTTTGCTAACCGAGCTTAGGAGTAATTCAGTTTTCTACTATTCCCCATTTTCCAAGTTATTATTAAGCAACTTGAAGCATTTCCATATTTAAAAAAAAAATCACGTAGAAAAAAAATGAAGTCATGTGCACCATAAGTCAGTATGGGTTTACTTTTTTAACAGATAAGTCGGATGTTCTTTAGTTTCCCTTTCTGACAAGATCAGAGGCTACAAAAGAATAAATTGTAGGAGATAATTCTGACAAGATCTCAATTATAAAGTGAATATAGGCAAGGTAAAGAAATAAAGGCTGGAATACTAATAAAACAAGATTAATAGCCAGTTAGTTCTATGTCAACTTCAAGAGAAATATACACCACAATGCTCCAAAGATCTTATCTCCTCAATAAAGCCCAGATAACATTATTCAGTGATTTTATGAAAACACAGAAAGTACACTTGTCAAACCTGCAAATGATAAAAGCTGAGAAAGGTAACAAATACTTCATGTGGCACACTCAGAATCCAAATAAAAGTCAACATGGGAAATATGTGGATCCAAGTCACGTGTGATGCCCCCCCAACTGGAATCAGAAAGAAAATTTTATGAATATCAGAACTGCAACAATCGGATGGACTGCAGAAATAACAAGAGGGGAGGTGGGACACATTTCGCCTACTCAATGAACAAGTTCTTCTAATTTTAAAAAAGTTTTGAATAAGCAAGGTAAAAAAAAGGAGCAAACAAGAGGAAAAGGTGGAGATGTGTTAGTTGACAGTATGCTTCATAAATCAATAAGAAAATTAAGTTTCCCTAAAAGGTAATTTAACTTTAGGTCTCATTAACAGACTTACATAGCATGTAGAAAGAGAAGAAGATAGACCTATTCTGATCTGCAATTCTAAGATCACAAGACATTCAGTTCCTAGTGTCAGCAGGAATATGTATAGAATGAAGAAAGTTCAAGACGGGAGTAATGACCATATAGCCTCCTGCTATATAAACATTGTTAAAAGAAATAGAAAAGGTTACAATATTTATCTACCAGAGACTCAGAGAGACCTGAGAGTTCTGTCTTCCAACTATTAAATAATATTAAAAAGAGAGACTTGATTTATCTTTTTGGTCTCAAGTGATAAATGAGAACCTTTAAACATTCAGCTCCATACAAAAGTAGGAGGAAAAAAGTAACAAACGGCGAGAGCAACTTAAAGACGAAATATGCTTCCTCAGAAGGTAGTGAGTTTCTAATATAGAGATAGGTCAGCTCTGTCCATCAGAAATACAAAGCAAGCCACACACGTAATTTTAGATTTTCTAGTAGCCACATTAAAAAGCAAAAAGAAACAGGTTAAACTAACTGTAAAAATATATTTTCTTTAACTCAATATATCCAAAGTATTATTTCAACATGCAATCAATACAAAATTAATGAGATATTCTATATTATTTTTTCATACTAAATTTCTTCAAAATTCTCTGCATTTTACCCTTACAACACATTTCAATTCAGATTAGTCACAGTTCAAGAGCTCAAGAGCCATATATGCTCATGACTACCATATTGGACAGTTCAGAGTTAGGCAGCCACTTGACTGTAGGGGGAAATAGAGCACTGTTTGCACGATTAGATGAAATGACTTAATACATCTCCAATCCTGAACTCTCATGAAAATATCAGAAGAAAACAGCATATTAAAATAAAGTATCAAGAACATACTCAAAATTTTAAAAGGAATAACTTTATTCCATTTTAATCAAACACTAGTGTACCCTGTGCCCTCACACGACATATATGAACTCTGTATTTTACTGTAGCTTTCTGAACACAACATGGCAATTTTGTAAAATAATCCAAGTTATTTCCAGTAGCTAATATATCTCAAACTAGCTTCTTAAAGACATCAAAATCATTTCTCGTCAAAATATCCAATTCCATGGCTCATAAAATGTTTGACTGGTAATAATCCCAGCACTGCCTGCCTAATAAAAATAAGTAAATATAAATGAAAATAAAACATTGTTACCTGTTCTTTCAAAATTTTCTATAGCTTCCCTGTATTACAACGCCATATAGGAAAATAGAAATTTGATCCCTGGTATGAACTGAATTGTGTCCCATCAAAATTCATATGTTGAGAAGCCCTAACCCCCAGTGTGACCATATTTGGAGATAAGGTCTTGAAGGACGTAATTAAGGTTAACGAGGTCATAATAGGAGGGCCTTAATCCAATAGGACTGATATCCATATAAGAGAGGAAGAAACCAAGAATGAATCTTGTTGATACCTTGATCTTGGACTTCCCGTCTCCAGAACAGCGAAAAATAAATGCCCATTGTTTAAGCCACCCGACCTACGGTATTGTTATGGCAGTCCTGGCAGACTAATGCTGTTCCTAGGAAGGTATTTTAAAAAATGGCATAGCAAACCAAATTATATTAGTATTGAAATGATTAATAAACTATAAATGTTTCTGTATATTTATAAATTTACTCTATAACCAAAGATTTGAAAAGCCTGCCTGGTTGAGCTATTACAGCAATTGAATTAATCTGTTACCTCCAAACTGCAAATTCTAATTTTTTCCATAGCAAAGGTCTTCACCTTCTCATTATAAAAACAACACTCTATCCAAGATCAGTACTATAGACAATGAAGCTAGATATCAGTGGGAATTCAAAAAAGCATGCCACCATCACAATACTGCAATACTACCCTACCAGTAATGTTTATAATATTAAACATAAGTAACCGATAATACACAAAAAATTAACAGTGCATCTATGCTGTTACCTGCTTAAAAGAGTAGTCTTATAGGAGTTCAAGGTAAAGGAAGTATCATCAAGGACTCAAATATGTTGGGAAAAGTTTCCCCGAATGGGTTGTTTTGAGCTGGTCCTTGATGGGACTTCAAGATAAGTAAGAACATCATAAGCAGAGGCAAGAATTCTAGACATAATTCAATCTGAGTAGGAGGAAAGGCCAAATCAAAAAGGCCCTAACATGACTGCCTAAAAGTTTTTAATTAAAGAATATAAGACAATCCTAAGGCAGTATAAGTATAGCTAAAAATCTGAATTCCAGTATCTGCTGTAACTTAGAGCTGTGCTTTGGTGGGTAAGTTATAGAATGATTCTGAGCCTTAGTTTGAGGTAACATCTTTATCAGGTTATTTGTAAGTTATATATGAAATAATTAATATAAAGGATTTGGTACTTTACATATAAAAAATCCAATAAATGACAGCTGTTATAGCAGTTGTGCAATAGATGATAGCTACTACTAAGTAAGGCCTCCCAACTTCTGTCTTGCAGATGAGTGATTCTCAAACCAGGCTGTAATCAGAAGCATCTGGGAAGCTTTTGGTGAAGACAGATACCAGCAAGGGAAAAAAAAAAAAAATGCAGATACCAGGTTCAAACTAGAAGTAGGAAATAAAAATATCGCTGGTAGGGCCCACGAAATAGTATTTTTAACAAGAACCCTAGAAGCCAATAATATAAATAATAGAAAGATATTTAAAGGTTGACAACAGGTAAATTATTTTATAAAAATAGTGCTTTAGGTATAATCTCATGAAGATTTATTAAATGAAGTGGGAAGAGAATGGAAACAATAAGACCAATGAGGAAACTACTCTATGGGAAAGAAGATCCTTTGTTCATCTTGGCTAGCTTCTCATTTGTTAAATGGAATCCACTAGGGACAAACTATACTTAGAATACCCATCTTTCAATTAAAAAGCAATAGAACCTCCCAGCTCTACCCAAAAACTTCCAACACAGATTCAAATAAAAGATGTTTCCATCAAGCATAAACTCCCTATTCCCTGGATATTTCCCTTAGCCCTAGCCAGTTCTAATGTTCATGGTGAATTTATTTCATATACCGTGCTATGTATGCATGTTTGTGCTATATGCAAATTTCTACATTTCCTCCATGTTGACCAAATATTTAACTTTCAAAAAGATAGGGTCCTGCAATTTCTCAGAAAATCTAAAATTATCCCAAACTTTCAAAAGAAGGAGCTATGTCAACGTAATCATCTTTCTAAAAGCACAGCACCATGCTCTAACACAAACGTAGTATTTTTGGTGGGTCTACTTGCCAGCTAAGTCATTCCAGTTATCTTGTTGGCTCACAGTTGAATTAATCATCTCCCTAAAGTAACTCCTAATTGTTCTGTATCAGACCAACCTTTACATTCTAATACAAAACTAGACGGGACTGACTGTTTCTCATACTATCACTAATTTCAACCATTTGTGCCAAGTTCTTATTTCTCCACACTTAAACTAGAGAAATGTTAACTACTTGATTCACCCTTCCTGGCAATGGGTAAGTTATCAGACTACAAGCTGTCCTCCGAACATGTACAGTCTTTGCAAATTATACAATGACCTACTTATTTTCATGTTGGTAGTTCTTTCCATTTGTACATTATTTTATACATGGACAGAATAAGAATCATTCCTACTTAAATTTATTTTCCTTACACCTAGCACATCAATTATATAGAATACACCTGGAAACCAGAAATGTAAATCTAGCTCAATGCTTAACAGAGAGCAGACCCCCAATACAGAAATAAACCAAGAAATAAAAAACTGAGCAACCAAAACACAAAGACTTGTAACAGCCAGCTGGGTAACTACAAACTTCAAGAACAGAAGGCAGGTTCTTGAAACTCCATGAAAAGCAGAAAAATGTCAAAAGCTATCTACAGTTTTGTTTTGTTTTTAAAAAAGGAAGTCATACTGCATTATTTAATAACCCCACACTATACACCATAGCACAAAACCAAATATTACTGACGGTGATTTTAAAATGTCCAGTATATTATACCGAAAGCAGGTAAGCTAATCAGTTTATACACAGCAAACATCTCCCTAGAGTAATATAAGAAATGTAAATTAAAACAATATAAGAAATGTAAGTTAAAGCAAGTTTATGGTACTAACAAAACATCCCAGGAAAACAACAGGAAGGGGGAAGAGGTTTGTTTAAAGATACCCTTTAAAATACTATTTATAATTCTAAAATATTGAAACCATGAAATTTCCCAAAATAATAAAATGGCTAGGCAAATTATAACAATATTGGAATGCCATATAAATATTTAAAATAATCTGCATATAGATTAACATATTAAGTGAATAATACCTTGCTTTTTGTATAAAAATTAAGAGTTTACGAAGTACTTTTATATATTTTGCTTCACAATATATATACACTGGAGGTTCACAACTCTGGCTGTTCATCAGAATTACTTAGAACACTCAAAGTGCAAATTTCTGCACCCCACCTCTCACTTAGTGAATAATTGAGCCTCCAACTGTGTTAAGCATTGGAAACATTTCCAATGTCCTACCAGGGTTTAGAGCCACTAACCACTAGTATACCCCTAATTATGATCGTGAAAAAAATATATGTAATTAAGAAAAAACACAAATTAGCTCACAATAATTGAAATAATTTAATAGTTTTTTCCTTCATGGTTAGTTTGTTTAAATTAAACATAAAAGGAAGTAAGTATATTGATTAAATTACTTTATTATTAAAAACGGTTTAAAATGTTGATATTTGAAAGTATATTCATTAATGGAAAATTTTTCCATGTACAGATCAAACCACATCCCAGAATGCTACATGTAACAAATGATGTAATATCCTGGTTATTTTTGTTTGTTTGGGTGGCTGGCCTGTGGGGAGATCCGAACCCTTGACCTTGGTGTTACAAGGCAGCGCTCTAACCAACTGAGCAAACCAGCCAGCCCTCCTGGTTATTTTTTTAAACAATATTATAAATAGAAAGCACTAACATAAAATTACTATGAGGATTTTGCCTCCTCTTACCGAACCCTTGACCTTGGTGTTACAAGGCAGCGCTCTAACCAACTGAGCAAACCAGCCAGCCCTCCTGGTTATTTTTTTTAACAATATTATAAATAGAAAGCACTAACATAAAATTACTATGAGGATTTTGCCTCCTCTTACACATATAATGAACACACTCAAAATATTTACAGTATTACCTAAAACTGATACACAATACATACCAAAATCTTCCTCAAAAAGAAAAACTCTTTGATTACAATCTGAATGGACAATTTGAATATATATAAGGATACAAAATGTCATTCGTTCAAAGAAACACTAACATAACCCTTAGTTTGAAACAAACGCACTAGGAAATGTACCAGCAGAAATTTAAAATAAGTAAACATTTTAGTACTACCCAAGAAACAGGTGACCTCAGTCTGACTTTGAAGGACATGGAAGTTTCACACATATCACTTTATTCCAATTTCCTTCAACACTGGTCACAAATTGACTTCCTAAACATAAAAATTCAAAGCACAAGTTAATATATTTACAATAATATTAAAATGTTTATTTTCTATCCTAGACGTCTCTCCTATTATTGAGACTCTATAAGACATGCCCACTTAATGTCCCCCAGACCTCTCAATTTCAAGTTTTAAATGACCCATTTCAAGAAATGGTACCTACACATTACCCATTCACTCATGCCATAAAGCTCACATATTCTGGATTCATTACTCATCATTGACATCTTCCCTAATACCTCATAACATTTCCCTTACTGCCATTTGCTAATTGCCCTAGTTCTGTCCATCTTTTAGTCCTAGGACTGTTGCATTAACCTCTACCTTAATTCACTGGCCCCACCTTGGGGCCTGTCCAACCCTCCAGTGAGAATTATCAAAATTCTCACTGTTACCACTCTTCTTTTAAAACCCTTCAATAAAGATTAGAAAAAATCCTTAGCACAGTATGCCAGGACTGCTGACCTCCCTAGCCTCATAATCTGTCACTAACATGATTTCTCAGCCTAGTCTAAATATCCTTCCTCCTCCTCCTCTACCTAGACACTCCTACCCACCTTTAAAGATTCACCGTCTCCAGTTTGGAAAAGGTATCCAGCTCTGTACTCTCGCTGTATGTTCTACATAACTTTAAATCATATCATAAATTATTTACTAAGTACATGCCAGATCTGGAGATACAAAAGTGAACAAAACACAGTCCTTGACTTTAAGACTCAGTGGAGGCAGAAAAGTAAACTGTCAATTGCAACACACTCTGACTTTTTTAAAGCTAACATCTGAGTGCTTATTATATGGCAGGCATCATGCTAAGGATCTGCCGTGTATGATCTAATTTAATTCTCCAATAATCTTATGATTCTCACTTTATGGAGAAGAAAACAAAAATTCTGTTATTTGTTCAAGGTTCAGTTAAGCTTTAAGAGCTGGGATCTTTGCCGTGTATGATCTAATTTAATTCTCCAATAATCTTATGATTCCCACTTTATGTAGAAGAAAACAAAAATTCTGTTATTTGTTCAAGGTTCAGTTAAGCTTTAAGAGCTGGGATCTGAATACAGGTTTGACTCCAGAACCAAAGCTCTTAACCACAATGCATCTATCTCTACTGTTACAACATTCAAATCAGTTTCCCCAGTGCCCAGCACACAGCAAGGTAAAAGATATCTGTTAAATTAATGAACTTGAATGCTGAAGTCCTAAACTAATGACTTAACATCAATATTACCAATATTAACATCAATGTTACAGTAATATAACATTAATACATTACTGATGTAATGACAACATCAATACTACCACTTCAACTGATAGTTCCTTGCTTCAAAGCATTCAAAAGCACTGAGATCCTAACACATGTGAAATGATCAATGTCCCAAGTTACTCATCATATCAGGGTTTGTAATAGCAAAATATTGGAAATAAATGTTTATCAGAGGGGGACCCATTAAACAAATTATAGTCTGTAAATATGCTCTGGTCTAAATGTGTCTCCACAAAACTCATTAAAATTTTAGTATTAATGAGATTAATGGCCTTATAAAAGAGATGCAAGGAAGTTGTTCATCCCTTTTGCCATTTCCGCCACTTGAGGACACAGCAGTTGTTCCCTCCAGAGGAAGTAGCATTTAAGGTGCCATCTTGGAAGCAGAGATTTGGCCCTCATCAGACGCTGAACCTGCCACTGCCAGTGCCTTGATCTTGGACTTCCCAGCCTCCAAAAGAGTGAGAAATACATTTCTCTTCTTTACAAATTACCCAGTCTCAGGTGTTTTTTTTTATAGCACCACAAATGAACTAAGATGCCATATAATGGATTCATGCAGCTATAAAAAAGAAGAATGCTCTGTATGTGCTGATATGGAATAATACAAGACATACTAATTAGAAAAAAAAAACAAGGTAAGCTACCAAAGGTGAGGGCGGAAAGGATACATGTGTCTTCCTTCCATATGCAAAAAATACCTTTGGAAGAACACACAAGAAACTGTTAACAGAGGCTGCCCTGAGAAGTAGAAAACTGGGTGACTTGGGGATAGGAACAGGAAAGAGATTTCACTACATATCTTTTGAATCTTTTGAATTTTGAACCATCTGATTATATACCTATTCAAAAATAAACTCCCAAGGAAATTTTTTAAAAAGCAATTTCAGAAATAAAAACATAAACACTATAAGATCCATGGGATAGGCCACAGCTTTCTTGATTGGGACTGTTTCATAGTATATGGTATTTGTTGGAGTCAAATATTTGTTAAATCAATGAACAAAGTTTACAAAACTTTCAAATTGCTACTGCAGGGATATTTCTTTTTTTTTTTTTTGTCTTTTTCCATGTCCGGCAACGGATCGCAACTCTCAGTGTCGCCCCCGTACCGGACCGGGACCGGCAACGGGATCGCAACCCTCGGTGTTGCTCCCGCGCCTCGCTCAGCCAGTGAGCGGGAACCGGTCTGTATGTGGGATCTGAACCCTCGGGCGGGAGCGCCGCCGCGCTTCCCAAGCAGCGCACTATCCAGTGCGCCACCGGGCCAGCCCCTGCAGGGATATTTCAATTACACTTATAAAGAACAGTAAAACTGGGAAAAAATGGTTTTGATTTTCCCAAAAAAACAGTCAGTCAGAGCCAAAGATTTTCAGGGCCCCATCCCAGGCCTACTGTTTATCAAATTCTGGAACAC